ACTTAGTATCTCAAAAATAATGACATAGCATCTCAAAATAATGACTTAGTATCTCGAAATAATGTAATGGCATCACAAAATAATGACTTAGTATCTTGAAATAATGACAATGTTTCTCAAAATAATGACTTATTATCTGTAAATAATGACTTAGTATCTTGAAATAGTGGCTAAGTGTCTCAAAATAATGACATAGCATCTCAAAATAATGACTTAGAATCCCAAAAATAATGAGAATCTTTCTAAAAAATAATGACTCAGCATCTCAAAATACTGACTTAGTAGCTTGAAATAATGGCTTAGTATCTCGAAATAATGTCATAGTATCTTGAAATAATGACTTAGTATCTCGAAATAATGTCATAGTATCTCAAAATAACAACTTAGTATCTCGAAATAACGACTTAGTATCTTGAAATAATGACTTAGTATCTCGAAATAATGACATCGTATCTTGAGTAGTATCTCATTATTTTTGGATTTTAAGTAAATATTTTGAGAAAGCTTGTCATTGTTTCAAGAAGGTTTCTGACAGCAATGACTTACAGGATCTTTTTTTCACACTGGCAGTAGTGAGCTCCGGTAAGTTTTTACTACTCCCTGGCAGTAAATATTTATGATCTTGAGTAAAATCCTCAAACATAAAAAACTTGTGACATCATTGATAATCCGTTGTAATTCTATTTTTTCCACACATTTGATACAAACAGAATGCATGACCAGCAAAGTATGATGCTGAAAGTTGTTGCTTCTGAAATTTTCACTCTCTGAAATGCATTCTTCATTCTTGCAGCCATCAGACAAGAAATTGGCAGAATCAGTACATCCTAATCTCATGCGAGCAACAGTAGGAGGAGAGCAAGAGGAGGAGCTGGAGGAGGATGGACATGCAGATGCACAGACACGAGGACCAGGGGAATGTTCTCTCAATGTTTCTGTGACCTCGCGACACCACTGATGCAAGTTGCAGAGATGTTGTGCCAACATTTGAGTCTGCTGGACAGCGAAAATGGAAGAAAGAGACAGAGAGAAGGGGTTAATGAGACAGAGGAGCAGGAGAAACAGAAGGATTAAGAAAGTTTAAAGGACAGACGAACTCAAACAGAGGATGAAAAGTAAGCTGAAAGATGAATTGAGGGATGGAGGAAGGACATTTGTGCTGAGTTTGGTATTGTGGTCCTCTCTGTGCACCTATAGACTCAGTCAGCCCGGTGTTGCAACTCTTTGTTCTCTGTTCAGTCCAAGTCTTAAGAAGAAAATATTTTTGTTTTCTAAGTTTTTACTGTTTTATTATTTAAAAACTGTGGTGATAATGATGATGCTGTTGATGACAATGAGTATTTTATTGATATTATAGAAGGAGAAAGGAATCTTGCACACCATTTATGTCAGCCTTTTATATTTTCTATTATTTTTTGTTTAGTTTATCCCTAACTATTTCATAATAACAAGCACAATATGGGCATAATGGTGCTGCAGACTCACCTGCCCTCAACTGGCGTATTTAAAAAAAAGAAACAAAAAAAACAGGCTTTTTATGACCTTGTTCATACTGGTGTTGTGTGTCTAACCTTTTCTCTCCAGAGATGTTAGAAAATTAATGTTTGAACCACAATTAGCCACTTAAATTACCTCTTTCCTCCACATCCGAGTTAAAAACATAAAACTTAAAAACATTGCAAATGAGCAATTATTCTATTTTTTTGGCAATTAATAAAATAACACACAGTAACAGTCTGCTGTACAACTCCAGTGTGATCGAGGAACACGTTTCTCTTTACCTGTTCAGATGTGCGAGATCATTGAAACTTGGGGATCATTCACAAAACAGGCCGATAACTGTAAATGTGCCACCTGGTTTTACCTAGATATAAAACAATGTAGTACTATCTATTAGCCATCCTATGCTTTGTGAACCTCCCAAGTATGCATGAACCCCCCACCCCCATCTCTATGAATTAGTTTTTTTATTTGGTTTGAAAAAAAAAAAAAAAATACAAACGGTGGTACATTTATTATAGTGGTTTGTTTCCATGAAGGTTCCCCTTTCTGCATAAGAGATGTTGAATTTGATAATGGTAGCAATGTGAAAAAAAATGAAGGGGGGGTTGCTCTGGCAATATGCAAATCTTACCTAGATAAGAATGTGCAGAAAGTGAATGGTAGGCCAATGTGATGGTAGCTAAATGTGTCTTTGAAGGAAGGATTTGGTTGAATATCGGTTGTTGCATTCTATCCACTCTGTCCGCTCTCAACTACGTTCTGATTTAAAAGCTGGAAGTAAATTCATTCAAACAAAAACAACCATCTGCCATCTACACATTATCCTGCTCTGTGTGTGTGTGTGTGTGTGTGTGCGTGTGTGTGTGTGTTTTCTCTCTTGTGTTTGTTGTGCACAGTTTACACCTAAAGGGGATAATTTAATGGTGTTTAAAGGAATACTTCACCCTCCAAATGACCACATCTATGCTCTCTTCAAAGCCAGACTCCTTTGACACAGTCATTTTACCCTGCTGAACTCGTTAGTTTATTAATCAATTACAGAAAATTAATTGACAACAATTTGATCGAGCACAAATGCCCATCATCTGTTGTTCCAGGCTCTGCTTCAGTTTCTGTTTTATATCATTCTAAACTGAACATCTTTCCACTTTTGGACGTTTGGTTGGACAAAACAAGGAATCTGAAGACGTCACCTTCAGCTGTGTCAAAGTGTGATTTGCATTTTTTCCTTTTTTGCTATTTTCCATAAGTGTGGACTAGTTTGTTGTGTTATGTGTGGCTTTGTTGAGTCCAAACACTTTAAAACACCTTAGTCAAACAACAATGCTGCTTTCACATGCTTCTCAGATAGTCCCAAATCCTGAGTAGGGAAGTTGTTCATCTGACCTCATGTGTTCGTAAGCTTTTAAGCCGTAATGTGGACAACAGTGATGCTACAAAGGGGATGTGGTGTATTCTATTGCTAAGAGTGTTTTAAAAACACATTTATTACAGTTTGAAGCTTTGTATATTTGATTTTGTCCCAGTCTCTGCATGAGCACATCCCCTAAAACCACTAAAGGATTGCTTTATCTGATTTGTTATCAGGGTTAATGTTGATGAATAACTTTTCTAACTAATCTAGGTAACTTTATGTGAAGAGCAACTAAGGCTTACAACCTACCAGGCTATCGCATACCAAATTATATAAGCAAATATTGATATGCAATGCATGAATTAATTAAAAGTTTCTTATATCTTATGTTTTGTGTAAAATGAACTTGGCAAGTCATGTACCAACATTTTCATCAACTTTCTGTGTTGTTCTGACTTGAGTAGGCATTCTTTTGAATTTCCTTAGTTGGGAACTCGTTTTTCTGCATATTCTGACAACACATGAATGCATTGTTACACAATCATCCCAACTGACCAATCAATTCATCAAGAATGTTCTCCATTTCTGGATTTTGTGTTCCCAGTGAAGGTATGCCAGCGTTTACTTCACACACGGTGAGAGATGTATACACAAATGGTCTTTTATGGGTGAAGTATTCCCTTAAATCAGTGGTTACCAACTGGTCCAGCCACGGGGTCCAGACTTAAGGGGTCAGACCAGTCTCATAATGAATGAGAATATAAATTCGCAAATGCACACGATCTGTTTCGCAAATGCACATGCTCTGGTTCACAAATATAATTTTTATGCAAACTTGTAATATAAATTCGCAAATGCACACGATCTGTTTCGGAAATGCACACACTCTGGTTCACAAATATAATTTTTATGCAAACTTGTAATATAAATTCGCAAATGCACACGGTCTGCTTCACAAATATTATTTTGAGGCACACTTGTAATATAAATTCACAGATCATGCAAATCACTGAATGTGCATTTACAAACTGCTTCTCATTTGTGAACCTCTCTACATTTGTGAGAGAAATCTGTGTGGTGAATTTTTAGACTCCCTGACACACTTTTACACCAATCGCAGAGCTACTGAACTACTACAGACACGCAAGATTGAAACGGTGCAAGAGACATGGATCAATCTCAACCTGTAAGTAACACATTTATCTTATTATCCCCTTGTTGTAAATCATGCAATGTTATTGAATTATAATGAGTTGAAGCATTCTGCTTAGCCAAGTAACATGTTTGAATGAAAGTGTGGAGAAAATGTAAGGAGCCATATGACTGGCTGAAAGCGAACACACCAGATTGACTGATGAATCTGTCAATCAGAATCATAAATTTGATTGACAGATTTATCAGCCAATGGTGACGTTCGTTGACCTGCGACATCAGGGGAGTCTCAAAATTCACCACACAGATTTCTCTCACAAATGTAGAGAGGTTCACAAATGAGAAGCAGTTTGTAAATGCGCATTCAGCGATTCGCATGATCTGAATTTATATTACAAGTGTGCCTCAAAATAATATTTGTGAAGCAGAGCGTGTGCATTTCCGAATTTATATTACAAGTTTGCATAAACATTAAATTTGTGAACCAGAGCGTGTGCATTTGCGAAACAGATCGTGTGCATTTGCGAATTTATATTACAAGTTTGCATAAACATTAAATTTGTGAACCAGAGCGTGTGCATTTGCGAAACAGATCGTGTGCATTAGTGAGTCCGAAATACAACTGCAAACCAGAGCATGTGCATTCCTGAAAAACCTTGCGTGAGTTCATTCATTATGAGACTGATCTGACCCCATACTACAGACTTCTCCTTAGCCATTAGTTCAAAGTCCACACAGATAAATACACTCGGCGACATACTTGTGTTTAGCCATGTTGTTGAGCTAGTTTGCTGTCTCTGTTAAGTAGCTATCAGTTAGTCACTCACTCTACTGCAGGAAACGGCAACAGGAAGCCCTCTAAAATAAAAGGTTTGTGCAGGAAATTCACTGTACTTCAAAATAAAGTGTCCATTCAGAATGGACCCATGACCCACCAGTTGGGAACCACTGCTTCAAATAATATAAAAAGAGCTCACATCTGGTCACCACAAAACAGACAAAGTAATATTCTTTATAGTAGCTTATAGCATCATCTTATATCTTTTACATTCATTTAAATAGAAGCAACAGAGATCACGCTTATCAATCATAACACATAGATTAAGTTGTACATACAGCTGGACAACGTTACGGAAACACCATTCAATACAATAACTCTGTGGTAAATATTAATTTTGTAAAGCTTGTTGCTTATTTGTCTTTTGCAATTCATAAGTGTTGATTTGCTATAGTGTGTGGAGGACCAGTGGTCACAAGAAGACTCTAACACTAAGTAACATGAAATGAGTTAATTAACCAAACATGAGACTTGAGTCTGGATTTTGCATCATAAGGTGTTTCTATTATTTTGTCCACTCCGTGTAGATGTAATCAAAGCAGCGTACAAGCAGAATGGGGCGTCACTGAAGAAAAGGCTCCTCTTACTGGAAGGTAAATTTCAATGCTCATTTTCCCCTCAGCACTGTTCTGCACAAATTAAATTAGGTAATCCGAGAGGTCTCGTGTGCCTCGATTCTCACATTCAGAAATATAGAAGACATAATGCTTGTAGGCAGGAAAGGGGCACCACAGAGTTAGTGACATCATGTAAAATCTCATGAGAATGTTTGTGACCTTTATCCTATAGAAATGAGGATTTCTTTTTACATCTGTTGAAATATTAGCTCTTCATCATTGTGCCCTTCTCAGTGCCTCCTGGATACAAGGAAATGTCATCACTGTGTCACAATGATGAGCCATCTGTTTATAGCAGGAATAGAAGCATGAATAAATAGTAGGGTAAGGAGACCATGTAGCTGTATCGGAATTATCTTACATTTTCCATGAACCGTGTATGTATGCAACTGAAATGAGCACATCATGCACTGGACTGATTAAAGATGTTAGAACATTTACTCACTGTGACATGAGAGAAAAACACATTTAAACTGGAAAATGTAATAATATTTTATAGGCTAGTGCTCCATAGATTTTTTTATTAAACAACTGAAATTCACATTCCCATTAAAAGGGAAACATAATATGATCGATCCGCAGATCTATCCCTGCTTGTTAAGCTTGTACTCCCGTTTGATTCTGGCATAGGGGCCGATGCTGTCGTCGAACACAAAGTCCCATAATACCCGGATCCAGGAAGTGTGTTGAGGGAGGGAGTCGTAAAACTCTGCTGCGATTTGCTTGACCTGCCAATAAAAAAAAAAACACAAATCAAGTGAGAATGAGAGCTTCTAAAAACAAATAAGGATTTGAATTGTACATCAAATATATATTCATGACATCTAGACTGCAGTTGTAAATTGTCAGAAGCACCTCAGAGACTCATAGGTCTAATTCACAGAGTTCCCACAAATTTCTACCAATTGATTTTCAAAACTTTTCCTTAATATTTTACCCATTTCCTGTTTTTCTCCTTATGTGACAGCACAAAATGTGTATCATGGGATGAGAGTGACCCACCCTAACACTAATTTCTCATTTGTAATGCAAGGAACTTATTCTGCGTAAAGTTAGTCATGTTTTGGGATTTTTATGAACAAATTTTAAACAACAGCACAAACAATGATTATTCAAAACATTCTCTTAATTCCAAACCATTTCCAGGCCTGGAAAACAGTTTTTCTAATGTCATAACTCTTACAGGGATTTCATGACTGTGGAAACCCTGATTTCAACATAGCACCTTATTTAACTACAACAATCAGATACAGACACAGAATCAGACATTTCACTGTTTGTTCAAACCATTCAAACACAATGCACAAAAAAAAACAAACAAAAAAAAAACATCCTACAATGAATCACTTAATAGTTCAAAAAATTGACTATCTAAAAGTATTCCTTATATTCTATTCTGTAATCCATCACTCATCACTTTACGCTTTATTCCAGGGCTGGTTGGCCATCTTTGACCTTTCGTGAGCTCAGTCACTGGTATTTCTTCATTTCTAAAGTCATACTGGGTAAACTCCCTTTGTACATTTGTACTGTGATCGAACAGAGATCTGATTGTAGCCACAGTCTGAGATCTCAAGATTTAGTTTTATTGTCTAGTTCCTAGTGCTCGGACTGAGCTGGGAAACTACATGAATTGGTCTCTCCACCTGATTTTATAGCTCTCATAAGTACAAGGATGAATGACTCGGTAGGTTCTTGACATCGGGTGTAGGTATTCTTATATTTCTACATGTTACTGTATATCTTTTATGTTTTTTATTGTGTTGTTGTTAGGCTGTAACTTTTCGTGTGCTGCTGTCTTGGCCAGGTTTCCTTTATAAAAGAGATATATGATCTCAACGGGACATACCTGGTTAAAAATGGGTTACATAAAATAAAATAAAATAAAATCTCTGTTAGAACAAAAATAGCTCATAAACTAAAGAACTGTCAAACAAGCTGTCAGCTGTGCCAAAAGTTTGGTATCTCACTTTGAGATACTATCGTGCTTTTGTGGTGCTAGACAGGCGGCAGTTAAGCAGTTACAACATCTGACCTCTCACATGATAAATGATTTGCAGTTGATAGGAAAATGTCACAAGTGGAATCTGCTGATACCCTTTATGTTTAGATTCTAAAATACAAAAGAGGCCTCTCTTATCTGCCCACACCCAGAGGTGATGCAACTCAACTATCCTCATTCATTACAACCGAACTAATAATAGTCTTGGAAATGATGACTCACCTGAGGTAGTTTACTGCCAGGTATACTGGGGAAGTCATGGTGCTCCATGTGATACCCAACATTGAAGGTGATCATGTTCAGTGGTCCATAGTAAGAATATGTCTCGTGTCCCTTCAGAAACATGTAATGCTCAGCTATGAAATGTCCAGAGATAGGATGCAGTCCCATACACAGGATCGAACCTGCAATCAGGTAAACAATGGGCTTCAGGCCCCATAGATAGTAGATAATTAAGTCTGCTGTGAGCTGAACAACTGCGTTAAGGATCTCTAGCTGACCCACTGGCTTAGGATTGACCACCAATGGGCGAAGGGCGTAGAAGAAGGGCTGGAGGAAGAGCCAGAGGACTTTCCTGGCTGGGGTGCAGAAGAACCATCCTTCCATGTATGTAGGGATGTCAACATCCAGCTGGTCACCACCCAGATACCGATGATGGTCAATGTGGTACTTCTTAAAGGAGGCAGAGTAAGGCAACCCAATCGGCAGGTTGGCCCACATGGCAAACCAGCGGTTCCACTTCGCCAGCTTGTTGCCAAAGGCCACGTTGTGAGAGATGTCGTGGATAGCCAGAGTCAGGGAGTGGTTGATGCAGCCTCCAAAGGCGTAAGCCCAGAAGATGACCCACTTCCAGGAGAGGTCGTGGACCAGGTAGCAGGCCAGGAACTGCGTCAGGACCATGCCTGATACCACCCACTTCAGCTGGGGGTCCGGACCCATCAGAGACTTGATCTCTGGATATTTGGCTGAGGAGAGAAGCAGACAGATAAAGGGATGGGAGGGGATGTGGACAGAGATAAGTTGGGCTTGTGTTGGCAAGAATCGATTGCTGTCATGATACAGATATTGCAATACTGTCAGTAAGGCGATATAATGCGACTTTTAAAAAATCTAATATTAGAAAAACCATCAATGCTAGCATTGTGTGCTTTATGACTGCCAGTGTCATGGGCCTGTGTTATTTGTGTTTCTGCTGGCGGTACATTGTTACGTTGGAGTATGATAATATGAATCAAGATTCTGTTATTGCATTGCCTGTTTCTTGACTTAAATCTTTTCAGAAACATATTTTAGTGTACTGTTTAGCTGTAAAATGAGAACTTTTGACTGGATGGTGGGCAGTGCTTCGTACTTCAGTCGACTGTTTCCAACATAGCAGCTGGTTCACAAACTTTCTCATTTTACAGCTAAACAGTACACTAAAATGCGTTTCTGACAACATTTGAAGAGAGAAATAGGCAATGCAGCAACAGAATCTTGAGTCATATTTGATCAGCGCTGCCTAGTTTGACAATTTGACAGCAGTTAATGAGCAGTGATTGACATGATTGACAACTATGTCAGAAACTTCTCAGCTCTAATTGGTTGTTTTCAGTAGGAAGAGGAGAAGGGACAAGATTTTTTTCACCAACTATCTGTCTTATGCACTTCTTTCCAACTAAAGTGAGTTTCAGCAAATATGACACAATGTTATTTTTATAAAGATTTAGGGGAAACAAAAGGTATAGGGAGTTGAAAAGCAGAAGACAGTAAAGGGAACCTTAAGTAAAAAAGGAAATAAGGGATTAGGGGAGTAGTTAAAGGGGAGGGGAAGAAGTAACGGATTCCTTTCATTTTTCTAAACATATATAATTACGTAGGAGTTAAAGAAAGGTAAATGTCAGTCATGATTCCAGCAGGGACAGCTGTTAAGCATGACTCATTCACTCTCATTTTCCAAAGCTTGATCACAACTTATCACTGTGTAAAACTGTGACTCTATGGAACGTAAAGTACACAATCGAGCATGTTGTATGGTTCCAGCCCTTCTCCTGGGACGGGCCTGCTGACAAAAGTCATGTTTAATTGGCAGAGGTGTTGTTTTGCTGAGGGACATGAAACTGAGGGAGTGGTTCAAAAACATTCACTGTTAGAAAAAGAGCTACGTTTAGTCCATATGACATTTACAACATAACAGACTCATTCGGACATACAGGTTCTATTTGCTACACCGGCCACACCCTACAGCCAAACTAACACAGGGGTTAAAAAGCGTATCCCATCATGCATTAAATGAAAGATAGCCATGCACCATCAGATGATTGCTCATGCAAATCTGGCCTGCTTCTTTGTGTTCAGCTCACTTGTGTAGTGGCTTTATCCATATGGGGCTCACCCTGGTAACTATCAATGGTTTCAGTGGCATTTCTCCTGCATGTAGGTCTCCCCTTTACTGACCAAACCAGCCTTATTTTGTTAATGTTTAGCCAACAGGAAAATAATTTATCAAGACACCTCCTATACAGTCCCTTTTTATCTACTGTATGATTTGAACTCATTTAAAAAGTGTGTCATTTGCTCATGCTATGTACAGTCATGTTTATGGGCTATACATCCTCAAAGGTTGGCGTTGTCGCACACCCAAAGGGCAAAAAGTTAAATCAATAACCAGACATCATAAAAGGCATTGCTTGAACTGCTTAAGGCGGTCGGGCAGAACATGCCGTACAGTCAACATTGGGTTTTAACCTCACCATAACAGAGAGTCAAGTCATTTCATTTGTGGACACATACTTAACCTATATAAGGTTTAAGCCTCAAGTTTCAACAATAGTTTTTGTCAGATTTAACTGCATGCTACAAGTCAAAATGACACTTAAATTGCACATATTTATTTCAGTTCTTTGCCTGATATCAGAAAGAATTGTTGACCCAAACTCACTGGAGTGGGCGGATTCAAAGGTCTGGATCCAAGCTAAATAAATTTTCTGGTACTGCTAAAAGTGATCAAACACCAGACAGCATCACAATCATCCCTCATCCATGTGACCTCTACTGTAATGGTAGTAATTGCAAGTTTATGACATGCAAGCTGAGCCACAACAGACTGCAGACATGCCTTACTGGCCGTTCAATACAACATAAAACCACTTGTCAACCAATGATAATGTAAAGGAACTGAGGCTCACTGACCCCTGCCCCTCCCATAGGTGCGGGGCAGGGGATAATTAAAAGAAGAAACACTTTAATAATTCAAGGCACAGTAGTGTCAACCTGTCACCTTCTAGATGTGCTTCTTTCACACCAGAGCAACCATGCGTGACAAAGCCAAGATCGAGTGTACATCAGCAGGTTTAGATCTCGTTTATCTAAACTGTTTTTAATGGATTTGGATAGTAAATCAGATGACCGAAGCTGGCTGCACACAATACAGATTTGGTGAGAAAATAAGAAGGATCATATGTATAACACACAGTTTAGATTCTTGCTTTAATCAACTACAGACGTGGTTTATTGAGGCAGTTTGTTAAATAAAGGTTACTCTGCCAGATCCCCCGACTCTCACTAAGTTTGTCTCCTCACATGCACATAGCATTGCATTTTGTCATGAGCAGGGAATGTGTCTTGTTACCTTGCAAGCCTGGAGGCATTGTCAGCTACACCTGCTATCAATATGCTGCTATTGTCTCCCAAGTTAGAGAAAAAGATGGCTGTGAGGGAGGATGGTTTACATAAAAAGAGTAGGTGGTGGCCTGTAGTAGATTTTACACTACATCATGATTTTTGCTCTCTGTCCCATGGGCGATGAAGTAAGTGTATTTGCTGGTGATACCCACACCCCCTCTGAGAGCTTTTGCTGACAGAAAATACTGTAAATTATGCAGTTTGGATTTTGAGTCAAATGCAAGAGAAAAATGTGAGAAACCCACATAAATGTAAATGATTTAAAGTCACATTTTTAAGTCAAGTCAAGTTTATTTCTATAGCACATTAAAAACAACCTCAGTTGACCAAAGTGCTGTACAGGCTATGCATGTAAATACATATAAACAAATATAAATAAAATAAATATAAACATCCCTCTCTAAAACACATGGTAAATTTTTTAACGGAAATTACACTGATTTTTTTTTATTATTAATTTTTGTTTTTTATTAATACTGTAAGATGTGCAGGGAGTTAAAGGATATTTCTACTTGTGCCTAAAATAATTCTTTAACTCCCATCAGCATGTCAATGAGTGACTCACAGTCTAATTCTGTTTATCTTGCCAGTTTCTGCGTTTTCCCTACATCCATTGTGGTCTGATAGCTAGTTAAGCAACAGCTTGTAAACAGGTTTAACCGGCTACGATTTTAGAGAAAAAACGGTTGTAGTCTGGAAAAAACACAAACGCACCAGGTTGTTACGCAAACTATCAAATAATAAACAAGAAGCCTTTTTATTTTTTATAATTTCTTACCCAGGATTTCTTTTCTTCTTGAAGTGTGCGGCTGGTCATTGTAGACCCATTCAAAGTCGCCTCTTCCACCTGTCTTCCCCATGACTCTCCTTTCTGTGTCTGAGGCACACAGCTCTGTGGCGTTATGTGTGTCATCAAGCCCTCACAGTATCGGGGCACACCCACTTACACAGGTTGCAGGCTGCAGGTGTGAAGTTTGATCATAAGCTCCTCCCCCCCCTCGAGCTGAGGAGGGAGGAACGGTGGTTGTGCACCTGCTGAAATGTATGCAACCGTCCCCAGCATGCAAACAACTTCCCCCATACAGTATATCAGCTGATACACCTGTAATGATACCACTGTATGTTTATAGGGATGATGTAGGAATGCTCACTGGTATCAGTCCTGACAAACTGCTGAAACTGCTGTTCATGCCCTGTCACGTGTCATATGTAGAATGTAGTAAATGTTTATTTTGCATTTTTATTATGTAACACATGAACATGTTAAACACCAGTGAAAGTACATATAGGTGATGCCAAGCATAATATAGAACTAAAACCACAAATATGCTGACATTTCCAAATATATTTATTTACACCTTAAATTTTGCAATGCACACACACAAATAT